CCTTTCTTTGCTCTTTTCAAACCAGGACTCAGTAAGAACCTCCTGGCACTGGCAATGTGACAGAGATAAAAAGAAACACACTTTAGTACACTGGGGAAGAACAATCACAGAATTACCAGAGTTCACCTGCCAAAGAGAAAGTGTGACGAGCCATATGGAAGAACACGGCAGGACGAGCATCCCTGCCTGGCAACACGGGTGCTTGCCTGGAAGCAGTATTTCTATCAAAAGGATGAGGTCAGGATTGGAGGGATGGCTCAGGGGTTCGGAGCACTGCTGTTCCTCCAGAGGATTTAGGTTTGATTCCTAGCACCCACTTGGTGGCTTACAACTGTCTGTAAGTCCAGTTCTATGTGTGTTTTGCCTACATGTCTGTCTGTGCAAAACACACATAGAAATGTTTTTTAAACAGGGTGAGGTAGCAGCTAAGAGAAAGTAAATCCCATACTGCAGAGGTGAAAAGGTACTTCAGCTAAACTGCAGTGTGGAACATCACAGCAAGACTATGTCAGGAGACCAGCAGCTGTGGTGGTGTACCCCTTTATTCCCAGCACTCAAACCACAGAGGCAGGCAGATCTCTGTGAGTTCAAGGCCAGCTTGATCTACATGAGTTACAGATTGGCCAGGGCTACACAGTGAGACCCCCTCTAAAAAGAAAAAAATAAAAATAAAGATGATGTGTGAGACCGGAGAGGCAGATGGAGGTCAGCTAATGAACATGAAATGAAATAGTAAGGATTCTGGACTTTGAGTCAAGGCACTATTAAGTAGAAATCTCAACAAACTTCAGTGTGGAACAAACAAGATTGGAATCTGGGAAATCAGTAAGCTGCTGAATGAACAGTGAGTATCACTAAAAAGACTGCTGAGATTCTGGCTTGGCTGCCTAGGTGGACATTCAGATGTATGTATGTATGTATGTATGTATGTATGTATGTATGTATGTATGTATGTATACACACACACTTACCCTGGGCTACAAAGAATTTTCTTTATCCAAACAACAACAACAATGGAAAAAACAAAGCCTGGGTCAGCTACTGTTTGCTGTGCCTGTGCTGAAGCCCCAAGGTCAGCACTCCAGAACACACAGTCTGTGCAAGAAGCCCTGGGAATGGATGAATTCCTCCCTGGGCCGAAGGTTTGAGAGAAGGCAGGCAGTGCTCCCTGCTGGGCCAGACACCCAGATCCTTGAACTAAACCTGTGTGTGACTTTTGGGTCTACACCAGTCAGGGAGGACGGAGTGTCCGCTGTTTCAACTACTTCCCTATGGTGAGTGCTTCCCAAGGCAGAGCCTACCCCAGGTCATGACTCTATCAAGCGCTGGAACCTGCAGCGCTTCAGCCCTCAAGAGTCCAGGTGAGCCCCTGAAGAAAGCCCCAGCCACGAGGCTCTGCAGTACACGGGTGCAAACTCAAGGAGGCAGGAGGGCAGCTTCAATAATCCCCAGCCCCCCAGTCCACTTCAACACTGTTTCCAAGCTCACTCTTCTAATCAAAAACAAAGCCAAAAAAATGACGAATAATCTAGACATCCTACACTACCGTGCTTTTGAACACAGAGGTGTGAACATCAGCTGAATATAGGTGGGGCTACAGAGAACACGACAAGGGAGATACAGATTCAGAAGTTGGGGAACATAAAGAGCAAGTGAAACCAGAGCAGTAGCTGAGACTCTTGAGTCTACAATTCCTGTTGGTAGGGTGTAGACAAAGAGGAAGTTGGGGAGGGGCATGCCACTCTCGTGGCTGATTTGAGGACAAAGCACAGCAGAAATCTTTCTTTTACTTCCCTACCACGGTGAAGATAACTATCTTGTTCTTTCCCTATCGACCCAGTTCACACTCTCTTCAAACTGTACTTCCACTTGTACAATGGTGAAGGATGCAAAATCAACCACACCCAGATGTGGAGGACTTTCACACCGAACATTCTGGAAAATCCCGTGAAAGCCAAAAGGACTTCTGCAATCCCTCCATTGTGGCTCTCCGATTAGTTCCTCATTCTATTACAGAAATAGTTCATCTCTCTGACCACTCCTTCAGAGCAGAATTATCTTTGTGGTAAGTATTTGGATTTCATAGGACTGCAGCTTATAAATAGCAACGTTAGTATGAAGAGGCTATGCATCAAAACTCCTGAGTACAACCGTGCTGCTGATAATGAGCTGTGAAATGGAGCTCCAGCTCAGAGTCTTGTCCAGAAATGCTGCCAAGCAGTGTCCTACTGAGCCACATCACCACCCCAGACTTTTTATTAATTGGGTAGAAAAAAATGAGTATCAGAAGAAAGCAGTGATTTGTCATGTGCAAGAAGAGATGAACATAAAAGCCTTGTGGACATTTCAAGACCAGGTTTTTTGTTTGTTTGGCAGTTCATGATATTATTTGTTGCTTAACCTAACCCAACAATTATTTAGACACGATTGTTCAAGACCAACAAATAGCTTCATAGTTTAAAGACACAGGGTTTTATTGCTTTTTTTTTTTTTAATTAACCTACTTGGTTCTATATTTAGACCATAAATGTACTAAATATTCCTGAGGTATATAATTTCCTGAAGGGCAAAAAGTACATAATAAACAGAAACTTGGCTTTTAAGGTATTCTGTAGGTCACCAAAAATGACTTCAGGAACTGTTATGAATTGCATAATTTAGGAAAGTTATGAGTCACGTGAGCTTAGTCATGATAGCATAGTGAAGTTGCAGCTGGGCGTATAAGTCTCACTTTGATCTCGAAACTGCTTTTCCTCTGTGTTACTCTGGATAAAAGAGGATGTAGTGGGTGGAAGAAGTAGGTCACAGATTCTGTGTCTGAAACACTAGGAAATTTACCCTGAGTTTATCAGCAACACACACACACTCGCCCTAAGCACATCCTAACGCACTCCCTGTGGTTTCAGATGTGTCTGTTTAGGTCTCCGAATGAGTCTCTTCCCATCAAGCCATCAGCTTTCAAAGTGGTTATCATTTAATCTTTGTATCTCAATACCAGGCGTAATTCCTGGCAGCCCCAATATGAGTCCTTCAAATTTTAGATCAAGAGATTATACCTATGGGTTTTGATTTTTGTTTTGTTTTTCTGACATAAATGTGCTATATTTTGCTATTAAAATTTAAAAAAAGGAAAGCAAGTAATCCAAGCATTCTGGAGGCAGAGGCAGAGCTATGCGTTCAAAACCAGGCTGGTTTGCATAACTAGTTCCAGGACAGTCAGGGCTATCTAGTGAGACTCTGTCTTAAAAATATTTAAAAGTCCTATGATCTGCAAATGCTACTGAGAATATATCTAGAAACAGTGTAGCTTTTCTCTACATTGTATGATTCCCTAAGATTCATGCTTTTCTTTCCACCTGCGGATGAAAGAATGGTAATAAACTGCCAGAGTGCTGCAAAAATCACCTCAGTGTCTCAAATGTAAGTTTATTCTTTTTTTTTTTTTGGTTTTTCGAGACAGGGTTTCTCTGTGTAGCTTTGCGCCTTTCCTGGGACTCACTTGGTAGCCCAGGCTGGCCTCGAACTCACAGAGATCCGACTGGCTCTGCCTCCCGAGTGCTGGGATTAAAGGCGTGCGCCACCACTGCCCGGCCTAAGTTTATTCTTAATAGCATCCTTAAAAGGCAGCATGTCCTTATGCTCTGCTTTCTATCCTGGAAATTTTTCCTGCAGTTAGTATCAACTTAGACTTCAGCACTTCTTCCTCACTAGCTCCTTTACCTTTCTTTAAACTTGTCATTTGTAATCGATTTTAAAATGCAAACACACACAAGAAAGTTATTTGGATAAAAAAAAATACAATACATTCAATGTCTGCCCCTTTCAATTACAGCATCTGTTCAGTAAAATAACACACAAACACAAGGTCAAAAAACTAACAAGGCTGGGAGTGATGGTGTAAAGTCTTTATTTAATCCAGCACTCAGGAGGCAGAAGCAGACAGAGCTCTCTGAGTTGGAGTCCAGCCTGGTCTACATAGCAAGTTCCAGGCCAACCAGGGCTACATAGTGAGACCCTGTCTCAAAACAAACATAAAGGAAACCCACAGGGTTTCAATCTGCATAAGAAAATACCATAATGACAAGATCTTAACGTCACACACTGGGGAATGCACACTTCGTTACTGATAAACTGAAATGTCTTACATGGCAACATTGGCAAACTAAAGTGCCCTAAAATACCCGGTAAGTTCCCTATCACCAAACTTGACACCTCTAACGCATGTCCATCCCTACAATCCGATCTCTCTAGAAAAATCTACGCAGGAACCCTCTAGTTTCTAGGCTCAAAACTGTTTAAATAAGTCAGCTCTGGTAATTTGTTTAAAATTGCAAGAAAAGCGTTCATGACAACCAGTCCATTCAAAAGTTGGATTAGGAAGTTTCAGCCTCGCTCTCTCCACCAAGCACCTCTCCAAGAAAGTACTTGGGATGATCTGAAAATCCAACTCCGAGACTCCAAATCCAGTCAGAAAATGCAAATGAAACTACTTCAGCCGGCGCCTTCCTGCCAGATTACTGCTTAAGTACCTCCTTACAGAAGAAATTCAAGTTAGCCTTTGAGAGGCTGAAAGTGGTGTGGAGCTGTGGGGCCCGTCCTTTCTTCCAGGGTCTTGCTTTGGGCAGAAACACCTAACACCTTCGATTCACTTATCAGCAAGCAAAGGGATCTCGATCTCTCTCGCACTCCACACACGAACACTCCACATGCCTGCACCTCTTTTCTGGACACATTCCAGACATGCAAACCTAGGCGACCTGACCCCTCCCAGGCCCTCGGTCCCTGGGGGAGACCCCGTCCAGGATGCCCTCCTTCCTCACCGAGAGACAAGCCCATCCACCTCCCTTCTCTAGCTAAAAACCGAGAGCCACACCCCCTTCCCACACTGGAAACTTGGGGACGCGCCACTCTCGCCCAATACCCCGCCCCCAGCGCCCCCAGCGCCCCTCCAAGCGCTCCGGGGCCAGCCTTAACCAGTTTGCTCCCCCACCGGCTCTTACCGAGTCTCGGGTGGGAGCCAGAGCCCGGTTCCTCCGGAGGTCGGGGCGCCAGGACGAAAGACACCAAAGCGGTCAGGAAGAGGAGACGCTGCCTCATGTTCCCGTCCGCCACCTCTCCGGGTAACCTTCTCCTGAAGAGTGTCCGGGGAAACTGCTCACATTGGGAAGAGGCGGTGAGCCTCCCGGCACGGCCCCGCAAACTTTTTTTCTCCCCTCCCGCGCCGCCTACAGGGAAGAACTTAGAGCGAAGCTCCAGGCCCCGGAAGTGCAGGCGGTGCTCACCGAGAAGGAGCTCAGCCCGCTTCCGGCCGCAACCCTAGACTCCCTCGGCGGCCCACGGCCGGAAGAGGGGGCACCGCATGGCATTCTGGGAGGCGTGGCCCGCCCCGCCCCGGCGCGGGCTCGCCGCCATCTTGGTCCCCCTGGGGCCGGCCGGCCTGGCGCCTGCCTGCCCGCCTGCCTGGCCCTCGGCTCGCGACGCCCCGACTCGACCCGGCGCGGTCTCGCCTCTGTCCCCGGGTGACCGCGGGGGAAGGAAGGTGGGAGCCGATGGGCAGGCCCTCGGGCGCGTGCGGCCGCCTCCTGCATTTTGATGAGCGTCCCCCTTGAGCGTCGTGATGAAAGAAAGGGGCCGTGCAGCCCGGGCCGAGCGGGGTCGCAGGCGCGGGTGACAGGATCGGGGCGTGAAGCCCGCCCCAGTGCCCTGGGGGCTAGCCGCCCCGCGCGGGTCTGGCGTGCACGTCAGCCTCCACTGCCACTGAAAATGGCCAGGGGACTGTACCTTGGCTTCCGAGTGTGCATTTATTTGCTCCTTGGCGGCTCTAGGCAGAGGGTCTCCAGGAACCGGAAGCCTAACCGTTCACAAGGGAACGAGAGCGGCCGTCTACCCCCCCAACTCGTGTGTACGTTTCCCTGCTCGATCCCTCGAGCTTGGAGTCGTTTTGTGTTTTTTTTTTTTTTTTTAAGTTCTGTGTAGTGTACTGTTTGTGGTGCTGAATATTATTAGCCCTGGTCAGATTTCAAGTTGTCTTCCTGAGAAAGATAAACTGTGATTTAAATGTGTTCGTTGTGGAATGTCCCAGTTAAAATCTTGCATCATTTTCAACAGTTAATGAGTTTGTACATTTTTTTTTTTTTTTGGCGTGTTAGCTAAACCTGGTCTGTACATCCGAGGTATGAAATGCTTTCAACTAGACATACACATACATTCATGGCATACCTAAACAAAAAAAAAAGAAAAAAGTTCACCCCATAAATTTGATGTGTCACCTGTGTATGGCTTTTTAATAGTAGAAATCTTACAGTATTTCTTCTTTTGAGTATCCAGGCTCAATATCCTCAAGTTTGTAACTTTAGTACACTGTAGGTTATATTTTTGTGTCCCCTGCAATGCCCTGCTCAAAAAAGGCAATGAGCTATGCTTATTTTAGTAAATGCCAGTTCAGTGGTTCTCAATCTTCCTAACACTGCAACCCTTTAAAACAGTTCCTCAGGTTGTAGTGACCCACAACCATAACATTATTTTGTTGCTACTTCATAACTGTAATTTTGCTACTGTCGTGAATGGTAATGTGAATATCTGATACGCTGGATATGTGATATGTGACACCCCCCCCAAAGGGGTCACAACCCACAGGCTGAGAACCACTGATTTTGTTTTTGTGGGAGCCCACAAAGAGCTTGCTTCACACAGCAGGGCTGCATTAGGGGATGGATTGACCACGTGTATGGTCACCAGGTGTCTGGGATGGTCTGCACTTGGCTGTGCTGGGGGAGGTCTTTTGCTCCACCACTTGGCATTCCTTTAAAAGCCCTTTAGTAGAGACAGAAGGGGCTGGTGGGGTTTGACCCAGGCCCTCCCGAGGCTATCCTGTGTTTCTAGCTGTCTCTCTCGTCTATACTTCTATGTGTTCCTCATTTCTCTCTGCACAAGGGTACCCTGGGGGAATAAGAGGGAGCTGGTCTCCCTCATTTTTTAACAGCTCCTAATCCACTTTATTATAACAGGAAGCCCTGAGTTTCCAGGGCAAGTCCTGATTTCGAGTAATCTTTGACGGTCACAAGTCGGGATTTGAATTATGATTCTAACTTGAAGTTCATCTTTGATTTAACAGTAGTCCATACCTTCAGAATAAAAGCTCCACTGGGGAACTGAAGGCCATTGGAACAGAGGGCCATGCTGGATAGATGTGCTGGCCGGTGCCTGCACCCCAGCGCTAGGAGGCTGACAGAAAACAACAGCCAGGGCTGTGGAGGAACTCTGAAAGTCGGAAACTGACAGTCCAGTCTGGCCTTCAAGGGTTTCTTGTTTGGGATTTGTTTGGTTTGGGCGGGAGGGAAAGGTAACGGTTTGGTGTAGTCTGAGCTAGGTTTATTTTGTAACCCTGCCCAGGCGTTCCTCCCTCAGCCTCCCGAGTGCTGGATGGCATGAGCCACCACACTGGGCTTCAAGCTTTTATTCTTTTACTCTCAGAAGATTTTTTTTTTTTTAGAAATATGTTTCCACTAGGTAACTTTTTCATTATAAATGTACTGGTTGCAACATTTGAAATTCCCATCGTAAATGTATGAACACTTAACTGCCAGGTCATCCTTTTACCGTTTGCCAGTAAAAGATAACTACCTCCAGTTGCACAACATTGTTGGATCCTCCACCACTGTCCAGTGACCCTTTTTTATAGTCAGCCACCTCCTACACTGGTCGTCTCCTGGCACTGTCGCTGTGTGATGTAGGGCATATATACATGCAGTAGAAATAATGGCATGAAGTCATTTCCAAAGTTAGGTTTTGACGTACTCTTCCATCTCACCTTCTCCCGTCTTTATCGTTACTGTTGTTTTAGGTCTTAGTATTTTGGGGTGGTCTCAAAACTAAGATCCTCCTGTCTCAGCCTCGCTGGTGTTCTAGTACTCCAGGTATATGCCACTGAGAAAAGCCAATATTCATGCTCTAAGAGCACACAGGAAACCCACAGAGGGATGGATAGGAACACAGGCCATCAGCCAAAGGTTTGAGTTTGACAAGAATTCTACAGCTGCAGCAAATTTCTGAGATCATTGCAGCCCTGCCTGATCCTCAGAAACAAGATCAGAAATGTTTACTGGGGTGCAGAGATGCTCCACAGGTGAGAGACCCACATGGTAGCTGATAACCAGTTCCAGGGAATCTGATGCCTTCTCCGCTCCAGACACCAAGCACCCACATGGTGCACAGACACAATACAGACAAGACCTTACCATGTTCCCTTGATCTGGGTTCATCTTAACATCTGAAATAGCTTTTACGATTTAATTAAGTAGCCTCTTAGCCAGGAGTGCAGGGAGGCAGAGAAAGCGGATCCCTGAGTTCAAGGCAGCCAGGGCTACACAAAACCCTGATGCTGGGGGATGTCTTTCTATACTCTGTGAATATGTTGTTCCCATTGGTTAATAAATAATGGCGAGGCAGCTTAGAGGCAGGCGGGAAATCCAAGGAGAGAGGCAGGAAAGAGAAAGATGGAGTCTAGAAAGAGGCCAGCCTGCAGCCCAGAGCAGCATGTCAGCAGACCGGTAAAGCCACAGAACACATTAAAACAGATTAATAGAAATAAGTTCATTTAAGATGTAAGAGCTAGCTAGCAAGAAGCCTGCCATAGGTCATACAGTTTGTAAATAATATTAAGCCTCTGAGTGATTATTTTATAAGTGGCTGTGGGGCCAAACAGGACTGGAGAAAACCTTCCAGCTACACCAACTCAAAAAAAAAAAAAAAAATCTAATGAGGACAAGTAAAAGATTACTTGAAATTTGCTGATCCTACTCTATGAAATGAATTACTCAGTTAACAGACTGCAAGTCAATTTAAGTAGACTTGTTAGACACCACATATATGGTTCTGTAATATATACCCCACAAATACTCAACACTGATTTGAAAAACCTGTATCTAAATGAGCACTAAGAGACCTGAGGATGTAGCTCAGTGCTTGCCTAGCATACATGAAGTCCTGTGTAGCACAAATCTTAAAAGGTCTTACTAATAAAAACAAACCTGGAGCCAGGTATTGGGGTGAACGCTGAAAGATCAGGGAAACAGAACAAGCCAGCCAACCTCACCTTGCCAATTCCTCAGCTGATCTCATTTCCTCAAACTGGAAGCCTCTGTGTTGTCATCCAAATGGATCTCAGCTGAACTGCTGCTAAAAGCTTAAAAAGGCCTCTAGTTCCTGGTCCTCACGCCTTATATACCTTTCTGCTTCCTGCCATCACTTCCTGGGATTAAAGGTGTGTCACCATGCCTGGACTGGCCTTGAAATCACAGAGATCCAAATGGATCTCTGCCTCCAGAATGGTAGGATTAAAGGTGTGTGTGCCACCATTTTCTGGCCTCTATGTCTATCTAGTGTCTGCTCTGTTCTCTGACCTCAGATAAGTTTATTAGAGTGCACAATATATTGGGAAACACCATACCACCACAGTCCTGAGTTTAAAAACTACTGCATTAACCAGGCCTGGTGGCAAATCCTATAATCCCAGCATTTGGGAAGGGAAAGCAGGAATCAGTTCAAGGCCATGCTGTTACAAGGGGAGTCTGAGGCCATCCTGGACATCATGAAACCCTGTCTCCAAGGAAAAACCCTAGAGAACTAGCTGGTGTAACATTTGCGTATACACAAGATGCATGCATGTGGAAGAGAACTGCATGGCTGTAGGGACTGACCTCATTGGGACAGAGGGAATGAGAAGATGACAGACTAAAAAGCTGGGGATGCATGGCCTAGGCTTTCTGATGGAGAAGCCACAGCATTACAAAAGTGCAGTGTATTTATTACATACAACTGAACAGTGAGGCAGGTTTAGCTAATCTGTCAGAACAATTTCTGTAAAGGTGCCATAAACATTTACGGGGTTGTAGGGGCTACAGTGGACATTTTCTGCACACAGTCAACATTTTGCACTCAAAACCTAAGGAAGGTTTTGCCACTCAAATGGGGCTAAAGCATTGAGGGCCTATGTCAACAACACATTCACTCGGGATTTTACTTGCTCCCTACAGAGAACAACTTCGGAGAAGTGGTGGGTTCTGTCCTTCCACCATATACATCATGAGAACCAAACTCAACTTATCAGGCTTGATAGCAAGTATCTACCAATGAGCCACCTGAAGCCCCACTTCTATGTCTTACCCTACCTGTCCTAGAGCCTAGACTTTCTAAGATGCTAACTATTCCTTAATCTTATATATATATATATATAGTTGCTGAATAAAGTTGGTAAAGCTAGCCCTTCAAGAAATATGAATTCTCAAGTCTCAAAGATGCTACTTTTAAATATGACTATACAGAGTTCATAT